ACAAGTCAACCTGTTCGCACTCCAGCAGATGACGAAAGACTGCCTCCAAATCTTCGTCACTAAAACAACACAAATATTAAACGAATAAAAATTTCATACGTTGGCAATAACAGTCTCACAGGATATCTAGAATTACTAATCAAAGCGAAGTCATGTGAGTTAATTGCGATCGTCTCATTAACGGATACAGGCTGGGACGAAAGTAAACTCGTAAACCCATCAACTGTGCACACAAATTATCAAAACATCCAGCAGAAGCAGATGTGCATACGATGAGCAAAATGATAACTCTTAATAAAAATTAGAACCACCATTTTAACGATTAATATGACTTGGTTATGTTGAAGCCGTGTTGAAAGCTTATGTTTATGGATTTTACACAGACGAATCAAGTTAGCCATTCATCGTTTATTTTTGCATTCTTTTGTCAAAGCCATCCATGATTGTTTTGCAAATCTGTTAGCTTGTTGTTGCAGCTGCTTTGTGATCGTCATCTTAGGCTGACAACGCATAAACAACAGAGACAGAGCAATCAAGATTTATGATATTATAAAAAATATTTCAGACTGATATGAGGCAACGCTCACTGCTGCGGTAAAGGTAACGTTCTCTTTTGCATGCAGGTCTGGCTCTAGAGATGCTGCCAGGCAGAATTGCTGGGAGGCAGCTTACGATTCCTGGCGTCAGTAAATCAAACTCCTCAACTGACCCCGAGAAGAAAGCTTCTGAAACCAGACGGAAAAGTCTGCAGTATTTCATCACACAGAAAGCATTGTGCCGTGCTAAATAATGGTTCTCTAAAATACTGTATCCATTATCAGGATCACAGTATTGACAAAGACGAACGTAAAGGATAACCTGCCAGGACGAAATAAACTAAGCGTGTCTGTAATAGCAATGAACAACCGTTATGTACTCGGTTACGTCCGGCAAACGGAGCTAAAGCAACTTAGGTAGATACAGCCACTTGTTAACTTAGCTCTGATTGCAAACCAACCCGGGTGGAAGGACTGTGGGACGCTGTCACTAATAATTCCATAATGAAATCATATGATCATACCTCCTGAACGGCGAATTACGATTCCACAGAAAATTAAGGACAGCGCCTCATAATTTGTTAGAGGAGGAAAACTGTTTGACTGATTAGGACGGTTCGTACGTAGGAAATGGTGTGCAAACACGACTGAAGCATGTACATTTATCACTTTATCAATCTGTGTATTTGTGTTCATACAGAAAACTGAAAAATGTACAAAAAACTGTTTTCGCTGTGTATAAATAAACCATTTCTAGATATTTTACAGTTTCCAGCATTTTCTTTATGTTCAGCACTAAAACCATAGCCTCTCTTATGTAACGAATACCACAAAAGCAAATGATTTACCTCAGCTTCTGAAAGGAAATTCTCATTTTCATCGTAACCTGCGAAGCAAAACTACAACAATCATCAACTACCACAATCGTGTTCTGTTTAAATGAACATTTTGAGATGAAAGTTTATTGCACATATGGAGAATTAACTCATCTACAATTCCGTCCATTTTGTTCAATCTGCAATCGTCTGACCACAAACTATTAGTCGTCTACGCCAGGGGTGCTATGGTAGCAGACAACTACTAAGCGAGAAACGTGCAATGAGCTGATAAATACGAGGAATTTCGTCACGAGGCTCGAACTGGGAAACGACTAACGAGAATGCACCATCGACGTCCTCATCGTCCAACTCCTCGCCATTCTAATCGCAACCATCTTCACAATCACCACCGTTGTAGCTATGACTACCATTATCGTCGTACTCAAGATCATAACCCACATGATCGTCAACATAATCATTTTTATCCTTTGTCATCATCATTTTTACCGAAGTTGTTTGTAGTTGCAGACCGTACCTGATTTGTAATGTCCTTAGAATAAATAGCGTCTCAGTACATGCATCAACGCAGCAATTATCTGACTCTCTCTTGAACTATATATTAAGTTCAGTTAACCCCACTGGCTGAATAGAACTTCACGAAATTCCATTTTTCAAACGTAAAACAAAAGTATTAATAAAAATATGGCATAATCCAACATACACCACGAAACAAGAAAATGATAATCAAGGGTGACCTTAATGAGCACGTCGACGGAGTTACGGGCAGGATCCATGGCGGAAATGGTCATGGTGTGTTAAATAAAGGAGATAACATCTTGCAGGTGGCAGTCGCATATGATCTGGTTTAGATAAACATATTCTTCCAGAAAAGAGAAAACCTCCTGCTAAATTACAAGAGCAAGCAGAAGAAAAGTCAGATCAACTACTTTCTACTTCGAAGGGACGAACTTAAGAACGACAGAGATTTCAAGGTTATCCCCGGGGAAACTGTCACAAGCAAGCACCGGCTACTGGTTCTAGACCCCTCTCTGAACATTCAGACAGTGGGCACGACGACAGCCACGAAGATACATTGGTGGAAGATCGAAGGGAAGCTACAAGAAACGCTGATAATGAAACTTATACGAGAAAAATGACGAAGGAAGACTGGAATAGGAAAGTGGACGCAGTAGAAAGCGGATGGCTAGCATAATCATAGGTAATGTGATTGCTCTAGTCGGCGAAACAAAAGGCACAACACATATCCAGAAAGAAACGAAGTGGTGGAATGAGGATGTTCAGGCGACCCTATGACAGAAGAAATTGCTGTTCAAGAAATAACAACTATGAAACAACAGAGTAAAATATGCCATATCAAAGAGGGGGCAAAAAAGTCATCGCCGAATCAATGTCTACTGCGTGCAAGAGCTTACACAAAAAGCTGATAATTAAAGAAAAGGAGAAATACATCTGGCGCATAGCAAAAGACAGAGAAAGAAGAACAAGAGACGTCGGTAGTGTGAAGTGCATAAAAGACGAAAGCGGAATGGTGCCGACCAATGAGAAAGATATTCGCAACCGACGGGGAAGGCACTCTACTAAATGAATAACATTCCAGAGAGGTTCACGGATGAGATCCCACAAAACCAGGGTCTAGTTGAAAAGATCGCACCGGTGGAAGTGGAACAAGCCTTGAGCAGAATGAAAAATAAAAAGGCCCTTGGCCCGGACAGAGTTCCCACAGAACCATGGAAGGAATTGGAACGTGGTTTGGCTCTGCACGCTATTCAACAAAATCATGGAATGTGAGAAAATGCCAGAATCATGGAGGCAGATTATTTTTATGTCAATGTACAAAGTGAAAGGGGACATGCTCGCCTGTGAAAACTACCGCGGAATTAAACTGCTCAGTCACACCATTAAGATATATGAGGGTGCTGGACAAAAGACTGAGGAAAAAGGTCGACATCACCATGAACCAATTTGGCTTTATGCCAAGCAGATCAAACACGGATGCTATCTTTGCTTGAAAATCAGTCCTCGAAATACAGAAAAGGGCAGACAGGACATTCGCATAGCGTTCCTAGACCTGGAGAAAGCCTTTGAACGAATCCCGAAGTAAGCAATTTGGAGGAGCATGAGAAAGAAGCTTGTAGCAGAAAAATATGCCTGGCTTACCTTAGACATGTACGACAGAGTGACAACGATAATTCGAAGTACGAGGTGAAATGGAATAGTTCCCTGTACGGTTAGGAGTCCACCGAAGATCCGCACTGAGTCCATTTCTGTTCTCGATTGTAAGAAACGCGGTAACTGAGGATCTGCAAGAAGCAGCCCCATGCTTCATGTTCTGTGCAGATGACACGGGGTTATGCAGCGAAAGCAGAGAAACTGTAGAATCAAAAACCGACGCACGGAGAACAGCTCTTGAGAAGAACGGCCTTCGAATCAGCAAAAGCAAGTCAGAATATATGGCGGCTATTTCATTGGGGGAAAACAGATTGAAATCCATCAAACAAGTGAAAGTAGCGGGCAGCTTGCTGCATCAATCATAAGAATTCAACTGCCTTAATTATCCAGCAAGATAATGCGAAAATCGCCAGCGAGGTAAGAAATCGGTCGAGGAAAGCTTTTACAAACCGGAGAGAAGTGAGCGAAGTACTGGGCGACAAGATGTCTATCAGACTGAAAGGGAAGGTGTACAGAAAGATAGTAAGATGGGCCTCTGTACGGAGGCAATGCTTGGCTACCCCGAAGAGGCAAGAGCAACAGCTGAACTTGGTAGAAATGTGAATGCTCAAATGGATGTGTGGTGACAGCAAAAAGGACATTCGTAACAGTTCCATAAAAAGCATTCTAGGGGTAGCACCAATTTCAGAAAAGCTTATCGAAAGCAGGCTGTGTTGGTTCAGTCACTTTAGAAGAAGAACCATCCAGTATATTGGAAATGTGGTCCAAGCTCTAATACTATCAGAGGAAGAACAAAGGTGAAGACTAAAGAAAAGATGGCGCGATGTCGTCAAGAACGATATGAAACTGCGAGAAGTCTCTGAAGATATAATGTGGAAAGGTTGACTCGATTAGCAGATCCTTGTTAAAGGGAACACGCTAAGAAAATTAAGATAATCCAACAGAAAAGAACATGAACACATAAGTGTCAGATAAAAAGCAAGTCAAAACAAATAAACATTAATGCACTTCAAACACAACAGAATGTTTACACAATGATAAATATAACAACTATACATTTACATGCACCGGAAAATGACTAGCTTCATGGGCAACGTCTGTCATCTTTCGGTTCTCGATTACCAGATGAAAATCTCGCGGACTAAGGCTGTGCAACAGAAACTTTGTAAGTAAGGATATCTTCATTTTCTTAACCTCTCGTCAAAATGAAGAGAAAATGTGCTGCATGACAATTGCGCAATAAAAGAGTTTCACAGATAACTGAACAAACTGAACAAACAGTAGAAGGAAATATGATGATTCGATCTTATCTTTATCCCTACCGAAAACAGAATTCCTATCGTAATTACGAAAACACCCGAATCTCTCATCTTCTTTTTACCATTAATGGCGTACTGTCAACTGCCGCATTCAAAAATCACATATTCCTTTGGTGGTGTATCTGTCGGTAATTTATCTTCCATGTGATTATTGTACAATCTGACGTGATTTCTCAACCCAATTTGTAAAGCTCATGTACTTAACTAGCATTGATCACTTGTGAGGCATGCTCTTCCCATGACTGGCACAGCATTTCACCATTAGGCTCAATGATTTTGACTCCGTTGTCTTCCTCCGGATTATGAGATGCAGTTATCATCACACCGACAGCGCCTAAAAATAATAAATAGCAGGCAGCATCTCATGCTGTGTTATAAATATTTATCGTTTGACTCGTTGATCGAAAAAACTTATTGCTGTCGTTACAGTAACAGATTTCATTAAAGTATTGAAGAGTCAAAAAATACGCACAGCAATCTAGCATGCAACTTCGATTAGCCGTTTTCACTCGAAAACCACGACGATTTCTGAATCCCATCGTTTTAGGCCAGATGCTGTAGCTCTTCAGATGATAAATGACCGCTTTTTACGTTTCACAAGTGGAAGTCATTGCAGCTGGTCGAAACCTGGTCTGAGTGGATACCCTACTGTTACTTTACAGAAATTAAAAATTTTAACGGATTTTTCTTAGCACAGCTGCAATAAATAGATCACCTGATCATACCCCATGACATCATCTGGAGTTCAGATATTAAAGAAAATCTGTGTACAGCCGCCGCTTCTTCAGATTAAGAAGTCACAACTGCCATGAAATAGCTGCCATGCAAGTCTGTGAAATTATTCCAGAAAGAAATGCGAAGCAACTACTACTTGCCTAACGAAGACCCTGGGAACGGTCAAAGACTTAAGGCAAGTGCATCAAGAGATTCTGCTCCAGACTCTGATTTTCTTTTGCAGAAGCTCAGATGCTGACACATGATCGGATGCATTGTCTGACGCTGCTACCTTCATGACCCGAAAAAATAAGCGATCGTGCAATCTGACTGATTGGCATATCACCTGTAATCTAATCTTCGAGCTGACGAAGACATGATTCCATTTATTTTCTCGTCGTTTTAACGTTTAGTCCACTCTTGTCATTTTCAAACATGCTACTATATCCTAATTATTAAAATAAACAAATGCGATTACGTTTCGTCTTGAGAGACCTGATAACGGCTAATATTCCAACTCGAAAAACGACGAAATGTAGTTGCTCGCCCCTAAAATATTGATTTCAGTTTTTAGACTTCAAAAGCAATAATATTTTAATTTAAGCAATTTTATACTTCTGCACGGCAGAATAGGTATCTAAAACTAGGTGCAGCTTGAATAACTATGTTACTTTTAAAAATGGCTAATGTGTAAGATAACTGACAAAAAAGTTAAAAAACCGTATGTAACCTTAGGCTATCTGAAGCAACTAACTTAGACTATTTCTGTAATAAAACTACTGTTTCAAGTCTGACAGCAACCATGGCTCAGTCTAAATAGCGACCCTATTTCAACTCACACGATGATCGTGTCTATTCTGCTGCACAGATTTGAAACGTAGACTTGCTGGAAAAGACCAGCAAAAAGTCATTTCATTCGGCAATACATGCTCGTGACAGCTGTTGGTTATCAGGTGGATAGACTTAATCGGCAATGTCCAAATGAACAATCAAACTGTCTGCCTAGCTGTAAAATCTGCACAACATAAACCATTCTCCATCCGAGAGAAAATATAGTAAAAAAATACCGAAGTTCAAAGAACATATAAGCAGGTGGTGAAATCTCAGCATATACTAAGTCGTCATTTCTAAAGACTATATATCAGATTAATTTTCAAGACTGGAACTTATCTATGCTAAGCTTTTAGTTCTAGAAATAAGACTGACTAAGTCAAACACCAATTTTAAACAAAAAAATTTAACTACGCTTAAAACCATATTTAATTTAAAAATAATAGAGTAACTATAAATAAGAGCAAGAAATATTTATAAACAAACTCTGATATACGGGCCTATAATGACGATTTTAAGTTAAAATGCGTAAAGAATAACGGCCACAGAAACGCTATTGGCGACAAGCAAGGCACGACAAAGCGAGATTATGCTTTTAAATGGATAACAAAATCATACAAAAAACATTTAACACATCACGTGCTCCAATGCCACGAAGCTTTAGCCTACTTAAATGATTCTCATTGCAGCTAGGACGATTAGAATCAATAACATTAAGCAGTAACAATAGCGACAATGGGAAAATTAATAGTGAATAAAAAAAATTGGTAAAAAAAGACGTTGCTCAAATGGGAAAGTAAGCAGCGTACTGTACGAAAAGCATACGCATATCTAAGTGGAAAGGTGTACAGAACGACAATAAGACCGCTGCTACTGTACGGCAGAATACTTGGCAACCCTGAAGAGACACTAACGGCAGCTAAATTCCATAGAAATGCGAATGTTCAAATGGATGAAGACAAATTAGCATGAAGAACAATATCAAAAATTCAAAAAACTATTAAAAACGGTCTCCCAGGGGATTTTCAGGAGTCATATTAAGAGTGGTAGGAGTTGATTACCGCAGAGGGTTTTGTGGTCCGCAGCAGCTGTGACATTTGGAACCAAAGGTGTATTTGGCACATGCTCCTGGTTAAGTAGTTGTTTAGAAACAAGGTTGATAAATTTTTTATAAACTGTATCCTGTCCCCGTTGGCATTTTCGCAGAATTGCATAAATTAAAGCCTCTTTAACACCGCTGTTCCCAGTCCAAAGCCAAGATAGTAGCAGATATATGGATTTCCCATGAAAAAGTAGGAAAGTTGGAGACCATGGCGAAGTCCCCGTAAACTCTAGCCACCTACCCCTTGCGGAACTTCCATCATCGAAAATTATACCGGCTGGGTCGTCGCCTTGATTACCAAGGGCCGCGCAGGCAGTTGGGGGACTGAGGCAGGCTGCGAAAAATCCACGATCAGGACATGCTCAAATTATTCTGGCAGCCGGGGGCACAGCAGCACAACAACTGCAACTGAAGATCGATGAAACGGCGACGAAGACACCAATCAGCAACGGGGTCGCTACCCGTTCTGAACGGAGGAGGCAGACAGCGCGATGCTGTTATAGCACGTCAGAAAAGACTCCACGAGAACGACACCGCCAGTGAGGGCGACAGTCGGAAATTGGAATATATACTCACTCAGAGCGAAAGAGCAAGAGTTGGAGGTTGACGAGGCCATAAAAAACCAACTCGAAATTGTTGGACTCTGGTCAAGAAGTGCCAAAGTTCTGGAATTCTGAACACCTGCGTATGGAAGCCATTCTACTCACATGTCTATATCACGAACCGCGTTCAGGCGGGCGTTGCTGTTTTGGTAGAACCCAACCTTCATCATCTTCATCTTCATCTTCCATCGCCTCTTCACATTTCGGGTCGCGGAGGCAGACGCATCAGACAGTGCTTCCAACGTTCCCAATCCCGTGCCAGAGTATGAGCATCGGCAAAAGACAAACGCAGTCTGGAACAGACTTTCCATATGGTCGCATTAGGTTAGTCTTGGCCGTCCTCTGGGCCTTCTCCCGGTCGGATTTGCAAGGAACAATTGCTTAGCCTTCCTTTCTGGAGGCATTCGCAACACATACCCAAGCCATCGCAGCTGCGACTTTTCAATCTGGAGAAGCAAAGGCTGCATTCCAAGGCTCTTCCGGACCATGTCGAGACGCGTAAGGCCAGCGA